TTTAAGATACAAACTAATTTTTGAATTAAAAGTACTAATTACTTATTTTACATGCATGGATTTTTTTTACCTTTAAAGAAAATGTTTAGCATTATGGACTTTTAAGTGGTGTTTTGTGTCGGTTTTGACACGTTTCTTCTTTTGCTTTCAGTTTGTGGTTATTCTAGAGAGTGTGTTATCTAAACTCTCCAGATATGACGAAGGAACCCTCTTCTCTTCCTTCCTTTCTTTCACAGTAAGTAGAATATCCCCTCTCCTTTCACTCTGATACTTTCTGAAAACAACATCTCCATATTTAATCCTCACAAACCTCTTGGTAAAAGGATCTTATTGGATCTTATTCCATCTTCTTTATTAACTAAACATTTTTAATTTTGATGATTTCAAACGGTTTCAGAATTCAGAGCCATTTTTGTTACTCAGGTAGTTCAGTTTGACCTTTTATGAAGGCTCTCTCAACATGAAATAGCTTAACACCTCAGCTGGATATCTTTCATGTCATAAAGGAAAAAAATATTGAATTAGTGAGTGCACGTTTGCAGCTTAATGCACCACAAGTCATGGATGCTAGTTCATTTCAGCAAATCACTCCATATAGTCTTGCAATTGTAGTTCTTGCTCTTTAAAGTGGATTCACAGTTGGTGTGATGATCTTACCCAATTTCCTTTCTTTCCTTCAAAGGTAAAAGCTGCTTCAAAGTATGTGGACGTACCAGTAAGTATCAAACCTTTCCTTCCTTAGTATCTTGTTCAGAGAAAACCCACCTAATACTAGGAGTATCATGAAGCAGGACAGAAGGACGCAGTATTCAAGGCAAGACAGACAGTGGGATCATTCAAAGCCTTTATGTAAAGCTGTATTAGAAGCTAGGGTGGGTCGCCGGCCATCACTGGAAACACTGGTTTGAGACAGATTATTGACCATGATAATTATCCATTTAAGTCACTAACCTGATTTAACAGTTCAGTCCATCTCCATAGAATGAGGTGGGATCCAGTTGGTAAGCTGCCAAGGAGATGCAGCAGGCGCCGCCCAGAGTGTCCCAAATGCTGCACTGGAAAAACAATCTAGAAATAAGTTAAAATTTCCTAAATTAAGTGTATTTACCCTTAATTTGAGTAGGTAAGTTAGATAGTTTGCCAATAGGATGAGTATTTTTACTCTTAAAATAAGATAATTAGATGATATGCTCTTGAAATAAGACAATGCAATTGTGTTTTCTTATTTTAAGTGTAAATTGTCTTGTTCCATTGACAAAATCTCTCTCAATCTAAGAACAAATGCACTGATTTTAAGATAAAATGACTTATATAGATTTGGATTTTTTCCAGTGTGCAGCCCTGGGGAACAAGCAGCAGTCCAAGCCAGGTCAAGGAAACAGATCAGAAGTGGAGGGCTCAGAGTCCACAGACAGTTCAGGCAGAACATTTAGATGGGAACAGACAGGCCCAGTAGTTGAGAGGCAGACGGGACAGGATATCAGGAACATGATGGAACTCTAAACAGAGACCCAACAGGGACAGGGCACGCTTAGTGGAGACCGGTCAGGATCAGGAAATCAGAAACACTAGGGAACGCTAAAAACCCTCTCTCCACTGGTCTCCATAATATGGCTGCAACGGTTTGGACTGAGCCATATAAACTGAAGCAGCAGCACATGGATTAGATAAGCAATAATGAACAACTGGGCAGAGTTAGATAGGTGAACGGAGTGAGCAATTAGGCCAGTCATCAGTGCCGAGATCATGAAAAAGAGAACAGAATATATTTAAAAAGCAGTGGAAAATATCTAATGGACTCCTGAATAAAGTGACTTTCAGATCTATTCATTATTAAGATAATAGCATGTTTTTACAGACCAAGAGCCACCGGATTAAAACGCACTGAGTAATAAGAATAGAATAGAAAAGAACATAACAGAAATAATAGAATAAAATGGAATAAAAGAATATAACAGAATACAATATAATAGAATACACATGTAAAATCCAGAATAGTCACTTTAAAAGCCATTAGATAATATAATGAAGAAAATGTAACTTTTAATTGGTTCCTTTTCCGTTTAAGATGGAATTGCTGCTTGTTACCACAACGTTTCTATCAATCCTAGCTTTTGGAGACTTGGTTTTTGACAGCTTCAACTCCAAGTCTTCAAAACACAGACTGTTAATTATACTTCTCTGAGATTTATAACCACTTGTGGAGCTCTAACACACCATTGCGAACTGTAATCTTCAGTGGGTAGACCGTCTTTATCCACCAGGAGGCTACGAAAATGGTGCGTTTTTATCTAGAAGGCCATGCTGAGGCTATTGCACTTCTACGTCTGTAATATATACACACAGAGAAGTGGGACATTTGACTTTTTGCATTCAGAGGATCATTTATTGCTCTCCTCATCCTTTTCCTTTTCCTGTTGAACCACTTTTCAAAACAAAGCAAATGAAAGCCAGATTATACAAACTAGATCTTAACAAGCCATAAAACCAGTGGTGGCTGATGTAGTTTTCTCCAAGGGGGCTATAAATTCAAAGTAGACATATACCAAAAACCAATCAATCATTAATGAGTTATCACACCTATACATTTATATTAATGCTGAAAATAAACGCATAAAAACACTCTATAAAAACTAAACATAATTTCATGTACAGGTTTACTTTTTGTACATAATGCTGCCCTCCTCAGGCTTTGTGAAGGTAAATCTGTTTTTTGCATAGTCCAATATGGTGTCACAGACCTAAAACAATGACCAGAATGTACCATTTTAATAATGCTATTAGTCGGCTTTATATATTTCTTTATATATCAAACTATTCATTTTCTGAGAATGTGTTTATTTACAAGCAACTATGCAAATTAACAAACATCTAGAAAAAGTACACTATACTATATTATTTTCCATGTGACTTCCATATTGTTTATTCTTATTTGCCTTTTCTAAAAAGTGCTTTAAATCAGTCCTACCTGTCTTGATCCTTGCTGGGTCAGTTCCTGAGGCAGGCAGTCAAGGCAGCAGGATAAAGCCTTAGCCTCACTCCATACAGTTAACCAAGCCTTGCAGCTAAACCAGGTCCTGGAAAAAGACAGAGTAAACCTTCTCCATCTGCCTGTTGGACTGCTGATTAATTTTGATATTCAGCTGATGAGGTCCAAACAGTTTCATTTCCCGTCGTCTTGATAAGTTGGCTTCCCTTCCGCGACTCAGCCTGTCAGTCACTAGCACAACAACTGTGACAACACTTCCTGTCACCTCGGCTCTAGTGCCCCCTGAGTTCTCCTATACTCCTGTAATGCAGGAGAACTACTGCACATGTTCAACTTTTAACGAGAGTTAATTGGTAAA